ATTAGAAATACATTATTCATATTTTTCCCACTTTTCAAACCTATAATAAAACCTACTAGCCTATTTATATCTCCTCCATTTTTCTCCCATCTCATTAATATTTACTTTTCCCATCTCCACTTTACACACTCTCTCTCACCCACGTGTATATTTTTTCCTTATTTTCTTTATTTCGTTTTTTTTATTTTTCTCCCATTACACTTATCTTTAATTAATATACATTAATACCCACCACAAATATTCAACAAACCCACTCTTCTCCTCTTTTTTCCCGTAAGTTTCCCTTCTCTTTTTTACTTTTCCCAAATTATCTCTCCTCTACTCTCTCTCATCTATAATAATAATAATAATAATAATAATAATAATAATAATAATAATAATAAATATAATAATACTAATAATAATAATAATAATAATAATAATAATAATAATAATAATAATAATATTATTATTATTATTATTATTATTGTTATTAATAATAATATTCACTGTAGAAGTAGTAATAATAATAATAATAAAATAATAATAATAATAATAATAATAATAATAATAATATTCACTATAGAAGTAGTAATAATAACAATAATGGTAACAGTAATAATAATAATAAATAATAATAAAATAATAAAATAATAATAATAAAATAATAATAATAATAATAATAATAATAATAATAATAATAATAATAATAATAATAATAATAATAATAATAATAATAATAATAATAATAATCATCATCACCATCATCATCCTCAGTCATTATATTCTACTTTTGCACGTATTTTCATATAGAAAATTTTCACAACCAAACATATTCTCATTTCTACACCTACATAAAACTAAAAATACCACTTCGTCCAAACATATTCTCATTTTCTACACAAAAACCAATATTCTACTTTTTCCATCAGAAATTTTGAAAACTAGAAATTCCCATTGGAAACATAACCAAGCATCCCCTTAACCTTCAAAATAGGGTATACAACGGCTTTGAACCGCATCGAAAGTTTGTCGAAACTTCTCATCATTCTCCTATTTCTTCTTCCTTGATCTTCATGTCTCATTGATTTATCTCACGACAACACAGAATGTGGTAATTTACGAGCTAAAACCCCTACCATCAATTGGCGAAAATTAAGTTTATTTATTTTATATAAAAATTGAGAACAAAAAAGTATTTGCGTGTCAATTTGAAAATAAGCTAAACAAAAGGACCAAATTGCAAATACTAGCATACTATCTACCGTTTACTGCACACCACCCTCTATTGTTTCAATTTCAAATACGACCCCATGAGACAGACGCTCTCGAATTTGAAAACACAACCTACTTCCAACGGCTACTTTCACCAATTACCATACTTTTCATATATCCGCTCACTCACACACAAAACGCACACAAGGATTCGATTGATTCTCTAATGGCGGAACCACAGAGTGCGAGATCTAATAGGTTCAACAATTCATCAAAAAAAGTGCGATTAATTGGGAAAATTAGGGGTTTAACGGTCAAAGAATCTGAATCCCTAAGCCAGGATTCGAAGCCATGGATTACAGTAAAGCACGCACAAGGAGATGGCTCGTCAGAAGTATCTACGGTTTTTCTCAACACTGAGCCCGCCAGGTAATTTCGTCTCGTTTGATTGTTTGATTTAGTTTACTGCTTGATGGGTAGGGTTGCAGACTTGCAGTGCACATTTTAATGATTGTTGAAATAAAGAAGTTGCACTTTTTTATTGAAATTTTAATTCTTAGTTGAAAAATTGAGTTATCAGCTATGGTTTTCCTGATGTTAAATATTGTATTATACGACTGGATTATGCATAATTAACTTTTCTGCAAAGAAAATAATTAGATTTGCTTTTCCAATTTAGGGATCTGTAAGATGGGATTCAGTGTCTTCAGTTTAATGAAGATTTTAGCTTCTGAATAGGACTCTGATGTATGATTTTGAAGAGATTGGTAATTTTTTACTGCTGTAGATAATACTTGGTAATTCTTCAAAGATTCAGTAATTTGAGTATGTAGGAATATAAGACTCTGGTCTAAAATTCAAGTTGGGAGCTGGATTTTCAATTTTATAGCGTGAAGCGAATCTGATCTTTAATTATTCTTTTGGAGTCATGTAATAGTCGAAGGGATGGGTATGAGCTGGATTATTGCTATGAACAACGTGAAGAAATTGGTCAGATGTATTCAAGAGAGATACAACCCTTGATTTCAGAGGTTTTTGATGGCCGAAATGTATCAGTCATCGCTCTAGGGGCAAGAGGAAGTGGTAAAACTTACACCATCCAGGTTTTTTCTCTTTTCTCTATATCTATTTCTCTACAGTAGATACTCATCTTTCATTACTGATGAAGTGTATTAATGATGATTTCTTATGTAATGAAGGGATGTCGAGAGAAACCAGGTTTAGCAGTACTTGCAATGTCTGAAATCCTTTCAGAAACAGAGAAATTAGGGAAGTCGGTTTCTGTGTCCCTCTATGAACTGACACAAGAACATGTAAAAGATCTTTTAAATCCCAACCATCCTGTCATCCAAGTACTGGAAGATGCCCAAGGCGTAGTCAACCTGAAAGGACTTTCTAAGGCAAGAAATATGATTCTACTTCCGAAAGTTTTCGAAGTATAAATTAATTTATGTTATTGTTTGAAACGTTTTTTGATACCTGTATTGGTTCTTTAATATGTTTTGCAGGTCTCTGTGAAAAGTATTACAGAATTTCATAATGTATACTTTGGTCAGGCTAATTCGAGGAGTACTCAGACGAAACCAACAGAGTTACCACGCAACAAGGGCTTGATGGTGCATATATCATCTGAAGATAGCAAAGTAAAATCAAAGCCGGCAAACAAGATTAATTTTGTTGATTTAGCAGGTGTCTAATTTTACATTTGAATAACAAAAACGTTTTTAACTTCAGTAGTCATTTATCTAATTCCGTATTCAATGTCGATGCCATTTTCTTATTAGGCTACGAGGATCCTAGAAAAAGTTGCAGAGATGAGAACACACCAGCTGAGAGTAGTTGTAAGAATAACAAGTTGTTGCATGCATTACTTAACGTTATTAGTGCTATTAATTCGAATGAGATCCGAGTACCATATCGGGAAAGTAAGCTCACTCGAATCTTGCAAGACTCACTTGGTGGCACAAGTCGAGTATTACTGCTCACTTGCTTGGTATGGATTTTGAAGATCTACTAGTTGTCTTTTTGTCAATCATTTGTTCATCATCTTATAAATTTGTTGTCTTCTCTGATGAACGCAGAACCCGATTTTTTGTCAAGACTCTCTGAGCTTTATGAGTTTAATTTCTCGGTCATGTCGAGGCACCAGGCAAGTATTAACAGACTCTACCAACAGGAGTCAAAGTGGCAAGATCAATCCTGCTTCCTTGAGTGCTAAAAAACCGATTAGCCATAGTAGGCTCCTTTCGACAAAGAAGGCTAGCTGTATCTTGAAAGGAAGGTAAACTGCTTTCATGTCGAATTCAACTAGATGTCAAATGGAATTAAGTTGGAATTGCTATTGACACATATCTATCCTTTTCTGTTTTAAGGAAACTCTTCGAGGAAGCAAAATCGGTCAATCCTAAGCAGGTACTTTTATCTGGGCTCTATATATTTTCGTTTTCCAGTCATTTACTTTTTTGGAATGAGAGGCCCTTGTCATGGTGAATTAGATTTTCCCCTAGAATACACTCCATCGAATTATATACTAATCTAAAATAAAATGCAGTTGAAATGCCAGTCTCGAGATACCAAAAAATCCGAAGTTGTACGAAATCTCGAGTTGGTTGTTGCACCATTTTCACTGGAAGAGGTATGTGAGGTTTAATAAAGTTCTCTTAGTGTCTTTGTCATGCCGAATTAGATTTATTGCCTCTAGAATACACTCCATCCATTTATATACTAATCCAAAATAAAATGTAGTTGAAGTGCGAGTCTCAAGATACTTCAGCCCAAGAATCCGAAGCTGTACAAAATCTTGAGTTGGTTGTTGCACCATTTTCACTGGAAGAGGTATGCTAGATTCAAATAAAATTTTCTTAGTGATAACTTCGTTTCAATGTCAACAACGTCTTTTATAACGATACCGTTGCATAATCGTTAATATGGCAGGTTTCGCATGACAATTTAATTGCAGACTGTAGCCCAAAGGTAGAACTTTACCTGAATCTTAAACTATATCTGATTTGTGTAACACTCTATGCCCCGCACTCACAGAAACTGTGTTCAGTTCTATTGTCGATGTAAAAATAAAATACGTAAATGTTATAGTTACTTACATTTTTTTTGTCACCCAGGATGTTTTAAGTCCCAGTGTGGACAAGGACCTCGGAGATGCATCTGCAACTAATTCAGATTCAATAGTTCAAATACATTTTGAAGCAGGTACACTACAAATTACACCCCCCACCCCCACGCACACAAAGAAACCCACAAATGTTGATAATAACGTATTAACTGTTTTGTTGTTTCTCTATCTAGATTCAGCTAGTACGTGTGATGAGAGCAACACTTTGCACAAGAAAAATGATGGATCCCCACCACTTAGTGAAAGAATAAGAGAAATAGCTAACAACTTAAAGTCGATATGTGCATCAACTCCATCGGCAGTTAAGATGCCAGAGGAGGTAGTTGCAGCATACAACAGTCAATCTCAAGTAAGCTATAATGACACCACGGAACCAAAAACCCCGATTGTGGAACTTTCGAGTGCAAGATATTGTAGTCCTCGTGGCACTTTCACCAACCGCAGTTCCGGCGTGAAGGTTTGTGATGTCGCGACTTTCGTCATATAATTCTTTATGTTTCTGTTTTCTGATTAGTGATTATTTTCTTGTGTTGTCAGCATTCCCTTGTTAAAGAGTACCTCAATTTTCTGAACTCCGCCACCAAGTAAGTGATGTATCAGTAATTTGATTGAACAATCTACTTGACATGTTGATTCATATATAATTTTTTTAATTGAAACAAAAACTTATATTACATCCAAAATCATTCATCATCGAATATAATATTCTAATTTGCTGTTAATAGTTTTCATGTATTTAACTATCAAATTATTTTTTCCCTTTTTTTCTTACTTGCAGGGAAGAGTTGAAAAGCCTCAAGGTATGCAACCACTTTTCATGTCGTAAATTTACATATGTATCTATCTATATATACAGGGCATTCAATCCCTTTTCATGTCTTAAACTGTGTTAACTAATACATTATACATACATTATCTATACAGGGTATTGGAGATAAAAGAGCTGGATATATTCTGGAACTTCGCAAAGAATCTCCCGAACCATTCAAGAGCGTAAGGAATTTTTTTTCTTTTTCTTTTCTCAATAATATTAAACCTCTATCCTATTATCTCATATTTGAATGGAATAATATTTTGCTCCCCAGCTTGATGATCTACAGGATATTGGGGTTTCCGCAAAACAGGTTTGCTTTCGAGTTGTCATTCAACCTTCTAAATGCTTATGGTATAAGCACAATCTCTCTCATTTAAAAAAAAAATTAAAACTATTTCTTTGTTATGCAGGTCAAAGGCATGATGAAACAAATGGCTGCTGACCTTTTCAATTAGAAAAAAACCCAATTATATTCGACCCTTCGAATTAAAAAAAAAAAAAAAACCCTATTATTCGACAAGCAACATAAAGTTGCCATATATGTATTTCCATATTATTGTAAGAGGCTGTGTTTTGCTTTGCCACATGATCTACACTCACTTGTGTAGGCAGACATTCTCAATGTGTGTGTGTGTTCCTTAGCAATATGTGCATGTCTGGTTTCTTACATTCATTGTCACTATTCTTGTCTGCTTTTATTTATTTCCACTATGCCACTTCAGCAATAGCCAGAGCAAATCAAATAAAAAAGAAAAGGAAAAAGTTAAAAAGCAAAAAAAGTTGAAAAGTTGATTCATTCTAGTTGGAGCTTTCCGAAACTTTTCCTAGGAGCTTTTTTCTCATCTCAAATTAAGTGGACTTTAGGTTGACGTGTATCCGAATTCGATTCCAATATTTTAACGAAGGCGACCCTGTTTAATAATGCGACTTGGCAAAACCACAAACACCTTGTGAGCATAATAGTTCAAAGTAGTTGGTTCAGAGCCCTCACGCATCTGATTTTTTCTTACTGACCGAGAATTTGCCGAACACTCTTTTTTCACCAACAATCTCCTTTTTCCGCACCTATACTATGCGCTGATAAGAATTGAAGATATTGTTGATCGGAGAAATGGGGAGTGATGGGGAAACCAGTGATTTCAGTTCGCCGACGTATGTGGCGGTGGGAAGTAATGTGAAGGAAGGTAAGTCGCTGTTGACTTGGGCAGTGGAGAATTTTCAGGGGAGAGATATTTGCCTCGTCCATGTTCATCAGCCCGCGAATTTTGTCTCACTCTGTAAGCCAATTACTTCACTTTAGTCTATGTTAGTTTTTCTGTATGTAGTTTTAAATTTTTCTTTTAAAATTGTTGCCGATGTGTGTGGAATTTCTGGGTAGTTTTGTGATTAATTCGTGGATAATTCCTGATTAATGGTTTGGCTTGAATTGGTATTTCTGTGTGTTTGTGTTTGGGAGAGGGGTTGGGTTTTTCTTCTTTAAATGGGCTTGAATTGTTTACTTTTTGTTTTCAAAATTTGTATCAGCATGCGGTTTTACCGTATCCTCTACTTGTAGGAGTTATCACTTCACATATGCTGTCGATTTTGATAGAATTGGTGCCGTACTCCAGTAACCTTTGAGTTGACATCACCTTTTCATTCACGTGTGTTTGTAGTGAGTGGAAAGCTGTCGACGAGCAAACTTAAAACTCAGGTAATTAAGGGTTGCCAGGAGCTTGAACGCTCGAAGATGCAAAAGCTTATGAACCAGTACCTTCTCTTCGTATCACAAATGGGGGTAACTATTTTGTGCACTTATCCTCTTGTATTCTGTAGTTAAGTTTTAAATCAATTTATTGCTTCTTGCATATCGATAATATGGTTGGTTAAAGCACATCAACTTGGTCGAACTGTCCAAGTTTCATGTGTACTTCGTCTTATTTTATGAGGTTCTCAAGCTTTCTTATCTGTCCTTGCAAGTAAATGTCTTCTTAACACTTCTGCAGAAACAGGCAGATAAAGTTTGCATAGAAATGAAAAATATTGAGAAAGGGATTCTACAGCTTATCATTCAACATGGAATAAGACGACTCGTCATGGGAGCAGCAGTAGGGACATTCAACGGAAAGTACGCTGAAATTGCTTTCTGTCGTTTGTTTCTTAGAATTTAATGATATGAAATTGGATATCTTTGGTGGGGAAATAATGTCGAAAGTAGTAGAGTGGTGTGGTGAAAACAGGTTGAGAGACATAAATGAACAAAGTTCTTAGTATTTGATGAAGGCTGGAAAAGTGATACTTTTTCAGTTTAAATGCAATAGTAAAAAAAAATAGTAGTATTGTCCATGTTCTGAGTTGCATCTTTAAGCATGGTTGAATAACCGGGACATTTGAAGATTGACAAACACTTCACTTTGGGAATCTCCCTTACCAAAGTCACTGAACGGGGTTCATCATTTTTTTTTAATTATCAAGTTGTCAGACGGCAGTATATAGTACTAAAGATTAATGCTTATTATTTTTAAGACAAGATTAAAGCTTGTTTCAGCTAGTAATGACCATATATCTACTAATGTGGGTTAATCTAGATTGCAGGAAATTGTCAGAGACCAATTCCAGTAAAGCTATGGTTGTCTACCAGCAGGCTCCCCTATCGTGCCATATTTGGTTTATTTCCAAAGGTTGCCTCATATATGAAAGGTGAGCCAGTTCACAATCGTAGGAAACAAAAAAATTGATTGGAGAGTTTTGGAAATTATGAAGCTGTAAAAATAATTCAAAGGCAAAGGAAGTTTTTCTTTTGGGAAGATATAGGATGGAGAAAAAGTTTAAATTTATTTATCCACCTTCTGTGGACACACCCATTCGTGCATTGTAATATAATTACGGAGTTCAAGGTTACATGTTAACCTCAACATTCCAGGATCCCATGCTTTCAAAATCAAATTCTGCATCCAATTTAGAGATCTTCCGGCAAGGAGGCCGAGTGACCTAGTCGTAGTACTTGAACCTTCTATAATATCTGTTGGAAGATCAAATGAGTGTTTTCCCATTGATTTATTTATTATAATTTATAAAAAAAAAAAATCTCGGAGGTCTTCTAATTTCTCTATGGAAAGGTCAGTATATTTTGTTTCTTTTAGAAGCAGTAACGTTCTGTTTACTAATCATTGACATTTCATTTCTTATAGGCCTGTGCGCTTTGATTCTCATTCAACCACAGCTGTGGCGCTCTTGCCTTCAACAAATAGTGGTGGAACAACATTAACACATGATCCCAAGGAAAGCATGGATGTCTATACTGAAAATATTCAGCATTTTGAACACCCAACTAGTTCAACAGATAAGGTTGTTCGAGAAATGAATCCGATTGTTCGATCAATGAGCCAGACAAGTGGTGATGATTCACCTTTAGATCTGAACATGGAGTACCTAGAGCATTTATCATATTCGTCGTCTAATACTTCACCGGTATGTGTGAGGTCGTACTGATGGATGTTTACTTAGTATATTTAAATTATTTAGACATAGTGAGAGTATATAACGGTGATGGGTTTAACTAATATATTATTTGTAATAATCCTACATGTAGCTTCTGTATGGTTAGAATTAGGAGGTTACTTTCCAACCTTGTGCTCCTGAAAGGATTTATTATAACTCATACTTTGGATGCTGTTAGTCTGATGTATAAGTTCTGAATTTGACAAGAAACTATTCCAGGATCTTTTCCGAAGAAAAGAAATTGGTGACCCAAGCAATAAACTAGAGGGAACCATGATGGATCACGAGAACTCTAAACGGAGAGCATTTGAAAACTCATTGAAGCAGTGGAGAGCTGAAGTAGATGAATTGGAGGCTGTGTATGAGGTAAATAGAGATCTTACGTTGTCTTTGGTTATCCTTCAATATATTTCTAGTCACGTGTTCTCTTGCTGTCATTGTTGCATATTGTCTTCTCTCATCAGGGGCCTGGCCATAATTTCTCTTTTCTGTGGGTGAATTACGGAAATTGATCACATCAAATTCTAGAATAATACTTGGGTATCCCCATAAAAAAAATATAGTTTGGAGAAAATATTTATTTCGATGAAAATCATAGAATGACAAAATGAAACTATGATCCTATAATTTTGTTTCAAAAATTGAAATAAGTAATGACTTGCAGAAGAATCTGACTTTGGACCCGAGTTTCTCAAAATCGGCTTTTACCGTTCTGTTAATAAGTTATTTGGTTCCAATTACCTAAATGAATTTTGCAGGCTGAAACAGAAGTAAGTCTTTCCAAGGACGAGATTAACAGATGTGAAGAAGTCGATGAACTATTACTGATACAGAGACAAGAAATTGAAGCAATAAAAGATCAGATTGCTCAACTTCTAAAAGACCTTCAGCTGATCCAGGACCAGAAGCCTGCGCTGGAAAGCCAACTAAGAGAGTCCAACTGCTCGGAGAAAGAGCTAGAGGACAAGATACTTCAAGCAGTGAATCTCTTGGTAACATTTAAGGGAACACGGGATAAACTGCAGATAGAGTATGATTCTGCTGTTAGAAAAGTTAACAGATATAGGGCATTACAATCAGATGATCATTCAGGAATATCCGACACACAAAATTTTGCAATCTCTTTCTTCGACATCAGTGAGGCTACTCAAAATTTTGCACCATCTCAGAAAATTGGAGAAGGAAGACACGGGAGTGTTTTCAAGGGAATGCTTTGGCATAATAAGGTAGCTATAAAGATGCTGCCGTCTTCTGGTTCTCAGAGTGATTCAGAGTTCAAGAATGAGGTAATATTTTCATAATTTTGAAACTGTACTTTCATTCCCTCTGCTTTAAAAAGTTGTTAGCTTTTAGTTCCTTTTGCATGCTTGACTAATAAATGAACGGGAAATCCTAATTCGTCTTTTCCATCCTTTGTCTAACGCAGATGGAAGTTTTGTGTAGAGTGAGACATCCAAATCTTGTTACACTAATTGGTGCCTGTCCAGAGTCTCGGTCACTCGTATATGAGTACATTGGAAACGGCAGCCTTGAAGATTACCTTTCCAGCCCATCCAAGACTTGTTCTCTTTCATGGCAAACTCGGATAAGAATTGCTATTGATATATGCTCTGCTCTTCTGTTCTTGCATGCCAACTATACTTGTAGTGTGCATGGAAACTTGAAACCATCTAATGTTCTACTCGATGCAAATTTCGTTACCAAAATAAGCGACTTTGGCATCTTTAATTTGATATCCGATAATGAAAATCCTTTTCGTTCGAACACATTATGCAATAAGAATGATCCAGAAACGCTAGCTTACATGGATCCTGAATCTTTCGAGTATGGAGAGATTACCGCTGAATCTGACGTCTACTCATTTGGAGTTTTAATGCTAAGACTCTTAACTGCAAAACCAGCTACAGATCTAGTGAGAGAAGTGAAATGTGCTCTAGAAAGAGGAAACCTGGAAACTATCTTGGACAAGTCAGCTGGAGACTGGCCACTTGGGCCCGCGAAGCAGTTCGCTGATGTGGCTTTGATGTGCTGTCGAAAGAATAGCCTTGATCGACCGGATCTTGAATCAGAAGTCTGGACAGTACTCGAGCCTATGGCAGAGCTGTGCTCTTCCTCGTCAAGCGTGGATTCAACGACTCAGCATAACGTGCCTTCGTATTTTCTCTGCCCTATTTTCCAGGTAATGAAGATGTGTCGAAATGCATCATCTTCTTCTTGATATAGATAGTTTCTCCGTGTATTAATATCTATAATTTTGCGACGCGTAGGAAATTATGAAAGATCCGCATGTAGCAGCAGATGGTTTCACATACGAAGAAGATGCTATAAAAGGATGGTTTAATAGTGGCCACAAGACTTCCCCAATGACAAATCTCAAGCTTGAGAACTGTGACCTCCTTCCTAACTATGCCCTTTATTATGCAATTCAGGAGTGGCACCAAAATGCATGAACTTCTCTTCTTACTTTACATACAAATATTTATGTGTATAATCCTGCTTTTGCATTATATATATATATATATATATATATATATATATATATATATATATATATATATAAAGAAATTGGAAATTGTTATATAAACTATATAAACTATTGAATTGTTATATATACATCTCTGTTGTTATTTAATTTTCCTCATGGACTGATTCATGAATTCATTTATTTATTTATTTATTTATTTATTTATTTATTTATTATTATTATTATTATTATTATTATTATTATTATTATTATTATTATTATTATTATTATTATTATTATTATTATTATTATTATTATTATTATTATTATTATTATTATTATTATTATTATTATTATTATTATTATTATTATTATTATTATTATTATTATTATTATTATTATTATTATTATTATTATTATTATTATTATTATTATTATTATTATTATTATTATTATTATTATTATTTAATATTTCTAACTATGACAAGTTACAACTTTAAATCAATTCATCAATACAAAAAATAAAAGTAATTCATAATAGGGGTTATTTTACATATCCCCATAGCCACCAAATAAACTAGGGATAAACCCAAGCCCAAATCATCCTTTGACATACCCTCCTGGGGAAGCGAAAGTACTATACTACTCTTATGTGCAATTTTCGGCCAAACTGCATTCAGCATTTATGGTCCTGCATTTATCATTTTCGCTGATTTATTTATTATTATTATTATTTTTTTTTTTATAAATCTGTTTGTTAAATATATATATATATATATATATATACATATATATATATATATATATATATATATATATATATATATATATATATATTTTAAATTTTTTTTATAAATTAAAAAAAATTATTTTTTTTTATTTTTTTTATTTTTATTTTTAATTTTCAAAACAATATGTTTACAGTACTGAAAATAACTACATGTAACTATAGTAATTCATAGTTATGTTCGTTTTTTCCCCATATTTTTAGTCGATCAATTGTACGTATACACACACGAATACTGACTTATACAAAATAAATTCATAAAACCCCAACAAAAATTTACAAAATTTAAATATTTTTATTATAAATCACATCAGAACCAAAAAATACAAATCGAAAATACATAAATATACGCATATGTAACTACATGTAACTACATGTTACTATAGTAATGTATAGTTATGTTCACAGTCTGTTGAACAGATCTGATGTAACTTAAAAAAACAAAAAAATTGACACCTTCAAGGAAATGATCAATGGCCTTCATTAAGCTGCAATTGCAAAATCAAAACAAAAAGAAATTACTTTAGTGCAAATCAACAAATTTGAATAAAAACATCAAAACACTCAAAAATCACCAAACATTAAGAGATCGGGAGATAGAGAGAGAGGTTATTGCTGGGAAATGCAAAAAAATTTAGAAATAAATCTGAAAAAAAATTAAAAATAAACGAAATTACCATCAAAATATAGATCCCGACGAAAGGAATCCAACGGTGGATGACCCGTGAAATTTCGACGGGTGGAACACAAAATAAAGCTCCGGCAAGACCACCGTTCTCGAATGAAAAAAAATTGCAGAAACAGATCCGCGCTCGAAACTGAATGAAATCACCACCAAAAGAAAGAGCTCGACGAGAGGAATCCAACGGTAGTTAAACCATCGAATTCCGACCATCGGAGAGAGAGTTATGGCTCAGGGAAGCAATTTCGCCGGTGAGAGGTTTGTAGAGGCGGGATTTTGAATCTGGGAGAAGAAGAGAGAGACCGTGAGTGGCTAGGGTTAAAACTGATTTCAGAAGCGTATTATAGAAACTTCAGGGTAGCCCAGGGGTATGTCAAAATATTTTCGAAATGAGGGGGGTTTCACCTAGAGTGTAATCCACTTGGTAGTTAGTTCTATATAATTTGGAAATGAGGGAGGTCTACAAAATAATCCCTTCATAATATATCCATAAACAAAAGTTCGATAATATTACAATTTAAAAAAAAAAAATTCCATCATGATTTTAACATTTTTCATGGTCGCGTGGATGCACGCGCCTAATTCCTGGAGATCTCGAATTAATAAATAAATAATAAATAAAGTGAGGATTAAAGCTTATAAAAGTGTTTTTTCGCTGTAATTTTACTGTTTCAGAACCAGCTTGGCATATACGTCCTATGTGTGTGTGAGTATATATATTGCCGCTCGCCTTTTTATCACTCCTGATTCTTCGAATTTTGTACTCTCTTTTTTCTCTCTCTAACTCTAAAAGGTTGCGCCGATTCGGGGTTGGCTATTTCCATCTCGTATACATTTTATTTATATATTATATATACAAAAGCATAAATTGCAATTTATTATATTTTTATTGTCTGCGACACCTTTGTATCGACAAGCAAGCGCCGGCGATCTCTCCGGTGGTCAGTGGTACGTGACTCTTTTCGCTCTACGGGTAGTAGGTGATGTGGCGGCACAGATCACCTTACCTCAAACCCTAGAAATAGTTTTTAATTGTTCATAGATGTTTTCTGTTCCTCTGATTTTTTTTATTTACATCACACATTTTTTTCTCGTCAATCCAACATCATTTTGATGTCTCTCTTTGTTTTTAACTTCAATTTTTCTATCATCATTTTTACACTTAATGTCGATCCTTCTTTTTTTTTAATTTGGAAATTTTGATTGAGAATAATTTTGTAGTTGATGAAAACGTTGAATACACGATGTTTTTGTTTAATGGAATTTGGTTGTTTGTTTGTTTGTTTCAATTTATGGAGACTGCGTGCATGAAGTGAATCTCGTATAGTTATAATTAGGTTTTATATCAGTTGATAGTCAAAAGTATTTTATTGTACATTTATGTCAATCCACTTGTTTTAATGGTGCCTAGCGCTTTTTATAATTCAATCCATGTTGATGTAAGTGGCAGTAATAAATGATTTTGGCGCTTAGCGGTATGCAACTTGATTAATGCCGAAGCACGTGGCTATTTGGATATTAGAGAAGTAGGAGATAGTCTTTGCTTTTATAAGATTTTGCTGATTTCGAATGAAAGGGGTTTATGCTAGATGCAATTGGCAATTTAGTTTTGTTAAGGAAAGTAACGGCAAACATTTTGTGTCAGTCCCGTTGAAGTGAGTCCATCTTTTGAGATTAGAACAGGTCTCTGTATTTTGCATGAGTGCAGCAGAATGCTCTAAAGACAGAAAATATTTTGATCGGTAGACAATAATACCTGGCAGTATAGTTAACAACCACTGAATCTTGGTTGGAATTTTGGTTGCAGACTTATAGGAGATGCAAATGGTTTTACTTTTGTTCCCACCCTCTAGAGCCTAGCTATCTATGGAAGTATATATATATCCCGATAAACACGTGTTTCATGGACAAACTTCCCTTCTTCAAATTCTAGCACGAGGGCACGACATTCATAGAATATGAAAAGAACTGTATATGTTAACTATGTAACGTTTGGCATGAGAAATGAAGTATTTCCATAATATCTTATCCAACTTTAAATTTTGTACCAAGCTTTTGCTTCATTAAGTAACTTCGCTGATTGAATGTGTATTCGCCATATTTTTATATTGTTAATTGTGATATCTAATTTTTTCAACTAATTGCCTTCTATTCATTTTAATCTTGTGGCCGTCAGTAATTTAACTTCCGTGATCCCATATTCATGAGTTGATTATCTCGCCTGTACTATGGATATTGGATAATGTTTCTAAAATATGTAAAATCAATTTCTCCATAAAGCTACGTCTCTAAGTTATTTGATAAATATAATATTTCCTTCAATCTTATATTCTATATGGATCATGCATATTTTTTCCTTCATATTCAAAGCTTTTATGCAGTGTTTCCGTATGAGCCTATTGTAATTGGAGCCTAAGATGCCTGCTACAAAGCTCTACTCGAGTGGAACTCTCAATGCAATGAAATCAGGAGGAGGGAATGATCCCCTTGACACCTTGATTAGACAAGCTACTGGAAAGGAGCCTCTACTCCCTTTTTCAAAGACGGTGGAGAGTCCAGTGCAGTGGATTCAATTGCTCCATGCCTTAGAACAACCAGGTGTTTATTTTAATTATCTTAAATTATACGCTTTAAAACTACCTGAATTGTGATAATTACTGTGGAGAAAAAAGATCATGTGTTGCAATGGTGTATAGATAGGCTTGCATATACCCTGAAGCAAGGCATCAAAATTTCTAAATATGTTTGGACACAGTAGAGTTGAGTTCCAACTATAGTAATATTTAGGTATGCATCCGGAATTACAGTAATATAAATTCTTCCAAAATCTTTTCTCTTACTCGGCAATTGGGCTATTTTCCAAAGCCCAATTTTTGGCACATAGGAAAAAAATGACTAGGGTTCTTTGGCCGTATTACTAATTCTACTGCGCTTTCATTAAACATTTTCCTGTTCTCTTTCTCGGCAATTGGGCTATTTGCCAAAGCCCAATTTTTGGCACATAGGAAAAAAAAAGACTAGGGTTCTTTGGCCGTATTTAATTGTGCTGTGCTGTCATTAAACATTTTCCTGCATAAAGATTACAGTTGTGAGCTGTTGCCACTTCTACCAACATTCCAGCTATCGGCCACCATACGCATCACTGGTCTATCTACATTTCGTGTATGCAAATACGCACTTATTTGCGCCTTCCCAACTTCTTATTTCTGGCATATCTATGTATCATAGGGACACCAGAAGATAATAAAGAGTAGATCACTATATCTTCAACGTGGGTGTATTTTTGGTGTTTGTTTAACTTGTGTTGCTCGCTTTCTATGGTGTTCTATGTATTTTAGTCATTTCAGAATGCTGAAGATGTGTACGCATGTAACACAGGCATGTCCAAACTCCAATGGGCTTTGGTGCCAAGTCCAATGTAGGCACCATGTTCCTGCGTAAATGTGCATTATAGAAAGAAATTCTTCGGATATTTATTTCTCAAATCCAAATTCTGTGGTTACCTTTCTTGGATGTCAAAAATCTATCATACATCCATCAGTTTCCATGACACTTATATTCTAAAGTTTGAAAACTAATGTTTGTTTCTTCTTTTACATGCAGATCTCCCTGGTTGGCCCTTGCTCGCGCCTGTGAAAGTTCAAATGCAGAAGTGCGAGAAATGTTCCCAGGAGTTCTGTTCACCAATTAATTACAGGAGACATAGTCGAGTACACCGCCGATCTCTAAATATTAACAAGGTTATATAACTTGTCCATAGCTTCACAAGAAACACGTGGAAATTTGACTTGAAGTTGTGGATATGTTAACTTTTCTATCACTTGTTGGAATTTTTGTGATAATGTTGGATACGTTTTTATGTGTGACATCCTCTAGTATTTCTAATGTTTGTATGGCATTCAATGTAGGAATGTCACAAAAACAGAGATCTATTGGCTGCGTTTTGGGATAAGGTAATTAGTTTCCCTGTTATAGCCATTTCTTGCTATTTCCTCCTATATATTTTAGATTAAGAATGCTGTTCTGGTGTGCAGCTTTCAGTGGAGATGGCTAAGGAGGTGGTGTCATTTGCCGATGTGATGCTTAAGGTAGTCACATGGTTCCTCCTTTTACTCTATGTAATTTATTTGTTAGCATAAGATTTGACCTTGCTATATCTATACCTTCTAACATGATGTTAAGTCAGTTGATATAATTACGTAACTTTTGTACTACCATGCTTGCTGAATGTTGAGAAGCAGTACCTGAGTACCAATGGTCCATGCAAACCTTCAGTTTGTAGATTCTTATTTTGGTTTGGATGCCGATCTATCAAAATCAATTTTTTTTACTACCATGCTTGCTGAATGTGGAGAAGTAGTACTTGAGTACCAACGATCCGTGAAAAAAGTCAGTAAGTAGTACTTGAACACCAATGCTTGCTGAATGTGGAGAAGTAGTACTTTTTTTTTGATAAGTCAGTAAGTAGTACTTGAACACCAATGGACTATGCAAACCTTCACTTTGTAGATTCTTATTTTGGTTTGGATGTCGTGAGAAAGTTTTTAATATGTCGGTTCATTTTGGTTCTTGTGGCATAAAATTTAATTACTTGCAGTTTCCTTGGATTCTTGACTTCCAATTCTTCCCATATGGCCTACAATTATGGGAAGCTCAAATTATAATCGGCATCATATATATTAAATACACTGGGTTCTGCAGCACTCGTTCTAGGGTTTCTATTTTGTTAAAGAATGATTTTACCATCTTCTTTATCTTCAAAAGACTACTTTACATTTGACTCTGGCAAGTTCAGTATA